GAGAGAGAGAGAGAGGAAGGGGCAGGATAGCACTGTTTCAGATCACAGCTGCCTGTTGATTTTTACCTTCGAAAATCACTTAGAAAGGACATCGTACTGCATTACACCAAATTTTTGAAGTAGTTCGAAAACTATCTGGGAGAAACTCAGAAAACAGATGTTGTGAAGGATTGCAATGCAGACAGCTTTTGCCTGAGGGCAGGGTTGCATACCCCCCGACCGCCTACCGCGACCACCGACTGTATTGCAGCCAACCAGTAGGGCCGACCAGTCGGCGATCTGCCCACCAGTCAGAAAACAGTCATCCACTTTTTTTTTTCAAATCTGAGTTGGGCGCTGTACTGAGCTTCCTGAGTACAGCCGAAATCCGCTCAGAAACTTTTGGGGATGAGGGGGGTATGGGAGGGTATGGGGGGATATAGGGGTGGTGTAGGGGGTATTGGGGGGGTTATGACGTTGTTGGGGGGCGGTTTGGGGGTGTTGGGCAGCGGTTTGGGGATGTTGGGGGGGTGTATGGGGGTCTTGGGAGCGAGTATTGGGGTGTTGGTGGGGTTACTAGGGGTTCTGGACCAAAGAAAAAAAAAAGTGCAGGGTGCCGATGACCCCCGACCGGTAGGTGCCGACCAGCCAACCGGTTGGCTGGTCGGCATCTGACCAGTCAAGGGCTGCCGACCGTCGGGGTACGCAACACTGTTTAAGGGTCATATCGGAAATCGAACCAAATTCGAGGGTCGGAAATTGGAACCAAATTAGAGTGGGGGGGGGGAAATCATATCAACTATAAATAAACAAAAAACTTGAAAAAAAGTATCTTCTGGAGCATACGCCCCGCACTCCGGATCACGTGTGGATGTCCGGACCCACTCCGGAAGGTCTCGTGCCCTGTGTCTGGATGGGTCTGTGGTAGACCACGCAAACAACTTGTACTTGGTGAGATATAAATTAAAAAAAAAAAAAAAAAAAAAAGTAGTGAAGACATTGATGGCCGGAAAATACTCACGCAAGAGTCGACAATTTGCACAATTCAGAAACTTTTCTTTTTTTTTTTCTTTTTTTTTTTTTGCAATACCTGTATTCTCGCTCCTTTATACTGAATGACACCGGGGATGCACGTCAGGGTCGTAAACTCGTAGGAAGCAACCTGTCGCAGACAAAACCAGATGTCAGGAGTCTAACACATGTCCAAATTCGAAAAGAAAAAAAAACGTAAATTTTTTTTTAAAAACCTTTTCATTTCTTAAACTTTTTCTTCTTCTTCTTCTTCCACACTTGTTCTTCTTCTCCACTAATGTCAAACAGGTCCGAACAGGTTTGGTCGACCATTCTGCAACGTGATCTTCAGACGACGACTTGTTTTCAGACACATGGGCTGTTTTTTTTAATACACCATATTGCATACGAGGGTAATTAGTAATTAGCAATTAGTAATTAGATCCATACTTTCTGGCTTCAGACCTCCTCTGTGCAAGCACTGATTTGAACCGGTGCCCCTGGCCACAAGAGCCAAGTCTCTGAAACCACCGGTACTCCGCCGCCCAGCTATTGATGCTGAGGGGCCGAGGCTAAATTTGCCCTGGCTGGTCTTTGCAGGAGTCAGGGGATCCAGCCATCCGTCGCTACCATCTTCACCCGAATAAAACGGCGGGKAATTATCGCTGCATCTGGACTGGGAGTTGTGCCAAATGCAGCTATGACGACCGCGCGTTCCATTCGGGTGACGACGATAGGGGTTCTGAGTCTAGGTACTTCTCCCTGCCTAGAGTAGTGTGGATAGACCTAGGCAGTTTCCCCTTCAGGGCATAGCTGTTCCCCTCGGCGCATGGATGTGGACTTCCACTGTGCTAGATACGTGGGTAGATAGCACGAGGTGTGTAGGGTAGCTGGTGCGAGGTGTGAAAGTTTTGAGAGACAAAACTAGCATAGTTAAAAATAAAAAAAAATAAAAAATTCGAGTCCTCGAGGGTCCAATTTGGCACTTTCAGAAAATGATGCTTCGTTCTTTTTTTTCCTTTCTCTTTCTCTTTTTCGACGCTTCATTCTTCTAAAAACAACAAAACAACAAAGAAAAAGAAAATATCGTCAGCTCCGTCCCGACGTGCCGGCCCACTCTAGACATTCAAAGTTGGTCAAGCGGTCCCTCAATATTTTTGGGTGCGCAGGCTGAGAGCACTCTCTCTCGGTTTTCTGAAACTGCTCTCCATCACCCGCTTCTGAGCCCTGATTTGCAAATCGAGGGCCAAATTGAGAGTGTGGAGTGGAGAAGGCCCTCTACTTTTACTGCGGTAAATACCAAATACTAAATACTAAATAGTAAATAGTGAACACCAAATACTGGCAAATAGTCAACACTTAAATAATAGTAGAAAAATTAAGAAAATGCCATTTAAATTTCCCCCATACTTTTACTGCGGTAAATATACCGATAGTCGACACTTTTTATAGCAAAACACTACACAATTACGCAGATATGTCACCCCATTTCGCTTGGGGGGGGGGGGGGGGGGGGGGGGGGGGGGTCCCACTATTCTGAACTTTCAAACCCGACAGCAGTTACAATGGGTATACCGTCGTCAGCCAAATAGAACGGCCAGTCACTATTGCTGCATCTGGACTGAAAGTTGGCCAAAAAACAGCTATAATGACCGGACATGCTATTCTGGTGAAGATGGTAAATCTACGACCTGGAGGGGTAGTTAGACCCCCGAGCCGAATTTCAAAATACCTTTAACAACAAAATAGGGCCAAACATATCCCCCTTTAACCCCCTATTAAGAGGCTGGGAGAGGGGGGGGTCGAGAAGAAACGAGAAGACGACGGAACACCTCCCCGTGGTCCAGGGGAGGCGGGAGGAAGAAGAAAGATTTCATCACTCATTTTCTACGGCAAACCTCTCTTTACAGAACGTGTGGGATAGAAGAACAAAGAAAAACAAAATACAGTTAAAAAAAAAAAAAAAAAAGTGAGACTGAGTGATTGCGCAGAGTGAATGGTGCACAAAGAATCCCAGTGCATGCATGTACCAGGACACACTGTTTGCCTTCATACAGATGAAAAAAAGAGCGGATTGCCTCCAAGTGCACATGCATGACCAGCTCCTGCTGTCTCCCTCAGAATATAACGTACGGTCATATTAAGTTATTTACTGTATTTGGGCCAACTTTCAAGCAAGATACGGAGCGATAATGACCAAATCCATATACGTTCTTTTTGCCCGAAGACGGTGAACTGACATATCACAAGTTACTTGTCTGTGAGAAAGCAGCAGACAACTTTCAGGGACAAAAAAAAAAAAAAAAAAAAGTTATCTTATGGCTTATAATTTCACCAACGAAAAGGAGATTAAAAATTAACGGAAAAAAAATGTTAAACCTTCTTGACAATTTGTTATTCACTTTGACGTGTGTGTGCATTTCCATGTATGCAGACACACAGTGTGTCTTGGTACATGCGGTCTCTCTGGCTGTTTTTTTGTGCACTTCTCTCATCTCCGTATAACTTCTTTTCCGGTATAATTTTTTGTTTTCCCCGTACAACTTATTAAGAACATGCCCTATTTATTTATTTATTTTTAATAAAAAAAGGTTTTGAATCTTTTTTCGATGCGTACCTCGGAGAACGTCCCCGTCAGCTTATTGAGGAGAGTCGATTTTCCGACGGATGGAAAGCCCACCAGGCCAACTCGTGCATCACCACTCTTCGTGACATCGAACCCGGGCTCACTCCCGCCACCTCCCTTCGAAGGGGGGGCCAAGATGTCTCTCCTCAGCTTCGCAAGCTTGGCCTGAACCACAATTACCACCCGTCCAACCGTTCCGGGGAAGGGAAAAAAAAAAAAAAAAAAAAAAAAAAGCAACGATCGGCAACAGTCAGGCAAGCATATGAAAAAAGTTGGACTCTGATGTTTGAGGGCTCCGATACAGGAGGACTTTTTCTCGACAGATTTATGGATGTAATTGCATTCAGACTGTAACAGTGGTCCGATACATCCAGCAGGAAAGCCCTGGTGTGACGTCATGATATAAATACATGATATGATCGAGTATTCACATATGAATTTTTAATGTTATTATTTTGTTTACATTCAATTGGATATAATAATAATTTTATTTTCTTTAATTCATACTTCTAATTATATTATTCAATCCTATTGTATTGGGACGGGACCACTTGCCCGGCCAGGCCAAAAGAAAATGAAAAAAAACAAAAAATAAAATATTTTTTAATTTTATTTCTTATTTAAAATTTGGTAAAGAATTTCGATGTGACCCTGACGCAAAAGTCGTTCAGTTTATTTCTCTGCATAACAGCGTTTTTTCCCGGATTTTTTTTTTCTTTTTTTTTTGCTAGGACCTTTTCTGGTCGCCGGGCCTCCCGGGAAATAGGGTGACCCGGGTGGCCTGGCTGGTAGCCTCGGAAGTTTTAAAAATATTTTATTTTTTATGTCAAATTCGGTAACGAATTTCAATGTGACCCTGAGGCAAAAGTTGTTCGGTTTATTTTTCTGCATAACATAGTTTTTCCCCGGATTTTTTGTTTTTTTGCACGGTCGGGCCGCCCGGGAAAACAGGGTGACCCCGGCAGGTTAAATTTGAAAATTATCCTGGTCTCTTTCAGGGACCCACTCATGTTACAACACATGTCGGGAAGAAAAAGAAAAACACACACACACACACACACACACACACAGACACACACACATGTTATGTGCCTGTCCCACTGGGATACTGCGATTTATTGCACACACACACAGAGTCGTCCCCTCATCTTATCATTCACCCAATACACAATTCCTTACATTCCTCCCCCCCCCCCCCCCCCTCTTCTCTCTCTCTCTCTCTCTCTCTCTCTCTCTCTCTCTCTCTCTCTCTCACCCACCCACACACACACACAAAAACATACACACACTTTCCAAGGTTTCTTCTCCGTCCTTCATCCCATGCCTCTCGTCCTCCCTTCACCTCACATCCAACCACCCCTCATTTTCTCCCAACCTTCCTCCCTCTACGTCTCCCTACCACTCCCACATTCCCCTCCCCGCCTTCTTTTCTCTCCTCTCTTTTCTCCCTCCCCTAGCGCCCTCTCTCTCTGCCTTGTTCCTCCTCCCCTTCCGAAAATTACTTTCACAGTTGCATGGCCCTACACCTTGCATGCCTACGGTCCATCTGTGGATGGCCAATAATAATAATAATAATAATAATAATAATAATAATAATAATAATAAAATCAGTTGAAGATCCCAGGTGGCTTACCTTCAACAGTCCTATGTGATGACTTGTGGCCTTGTTCTTCTGCGTCCGTGCCATCTGCAGGCCATAATACGAGGAGAGGGGGGAAATTAAAAAAACTAGTTAAAGATGACATCAACAATCCACGGACAAAGACCAACAAAAA